TTTTTTTTTTTTTTTTTTAATATTTACTTATTTGGCTGAGCCGGGTCTTAGTTGTGGCATTCAGGATCTGGTTCCCTGACCAGGGATCAAACCTGGGGCCCCTGAATTGGGAGCACAGGGTCTTAACCACTGGACCACCAGGGAAGTCCCTTGTCTCTCATCTTGATGTTGGGGCTTCCCTAAGTACTGTTGCTCAGCTTCAGTGTGTGTCTTGCAGTCCTTTTGGCAGTGATCTACTCTTAACTATCCTGGAGGCCTGCCGGTGTGATGGTAAACTGTGGGGGAGGGAAAACATTCTATAACCTTGCAGTAAATCCCAGTCTCTATGGGGCCTCTGTTTGAGGATGTGGCCTTCACAAGTGTTTCTGACTCTCCCCAGGGATATGGCTCTTTCCCCTGGCCCTACTCCTTACCTTGGCTGCAGCATTTCCTTGAAGCCCTATCCCCTGCTGATATGTTCCCCCAACACACCACATCACATGAGAAAGGAAGGATGTAGAAGGCTGAATTGGGGGAGAATTTATTTCCTCTAGCTGGGATGAGATTTCAGAATTGCACTCCGGCCAAGTCCTTTCTCTGGAGAGTAAGATTCTGCTACATAGAAAGCTCCATTGCCACCCCCTCATCCCCATCCCCTCCAGAGCCACCAGGGCACCTCTCTCCATCCTCACCATGAGAGCCTGCAGGGGTTCCTGAAGGGAACACCCCACAACAGTCTGGCTCCCAGGATTTTCTCCCTCTCAACTAGTCATCCATAAGTCCCCCTGCAAATGAAGCAGAAATCAGGACTCACCATCATCTCGATTGATTCTAGTTGTCTAAATTAGGGACCTCCATGCTCCACAGGTACCCTAGTTGTTCACACTGAGGACTGTCATGCCCCAGTGACAATATCATCAAGGGTGAAGAGCCTGTAATAAAAGTACCAGTAGATGCTAGAGACATGTTCTTGAACATGTACATTCATGACAGTATAACCAAATAAATATTTCGCATGTTAAGAAAAATTAACCAGGTAGTGATTAAAAAGTACAATCCCTAAGTGAATACCCAATTCCACCTGCCAAAAGGGATGTCCAATGATGTTATAGGGGATTTCCTATAAGACTCAAAGTGCCCTCTCTATAAGGTACAGGCAAGACTCGAAGCTCCAGGGTCTGGAGAGGGTAGTGTAGGAGGGGGAAGGTAAGGTGTATTCTGAAAAAGAGAATATGTGTAGAACACCCTAGGGATATCATAAAAGGCTACTGTAGATGACATTAAACCAGGCCTTGGTCCTCCAGTCCCAGTGTCTACTCTAAAGATTAGAACCTAAGCTCACCTAACCCATTTCTGACTTCTGGGTGTTCCACACATGTTTCTAAACTCTGGAGAATGGACACTGTCTATTTTGGGCAGAGTGAGAAGAAATGTGGTCAAGACAATATACAAAAGATTTAGAGAAAATGAGGACATGCTTAATCTTTGGATTTGAATATCCTGCATTGGTCTGTTGAAATGTGTGTGTGTGTGTGTGTGTGTGTGTGTGTGTACAGTCTTTGTGAAGCTTTTCTAACTTCAGAAGTATAAAAGGTTACTAACACAAAACATATCATTTAGAAGTCTAATTACTTATCTTTTTATTATACTTGGTTTTGTAAATTTGAAATAATAATCATTAGTTTGAATTTTTGTGTTAATTATTCTGAGTGAAGTTGGCAAAGGTGGATGGAAGCTATAACAAATTAAATATTCAAAATTACATAAGTATAAAAAAAGTTCTATTTCTGGGTTGATGAAAGTAAAAAACTTATATGGGAAAAATGGTGTTCATATTTGTGACAATGTGGATGAATCCAGAGGACATCATGCTAAGAGAAAGCCAGACAGAGAAAGGCAAATACTGCCTATTATCAATTATATGCAGAATCTACAAAGAAAAAAGTCAAACTCATAGAAACAGAGGAGTGCTTTGCCAAGGGCTAGGGTTGGGGGAAATAAGGAGTGGGTGGCAACAGGGTACAAACTTTGTATGAGATGAAAGTCGTAGGATCTAATGTACAACATGGTGACCAGAGTTGATAATACTGTATTGTATAATTGAAATTTGCTGAGAAAGTATTGATACAACTTAAATGTAAATATGCGCGATGAAAAAACGACGGAATTGTGAACAAAGGAGATCCTGAGAGTATAAATCACTGGGAAACGGCCAAAATCCTAGGAGAATTTCAGAGTTTCAAAGGCTATGAAAATGGTGGGTTCAAGCCGAGATCCCCAAGAGATCTGAGGAACCAGGAAAAATGTGATTTCCAGGTGGAATGAATAGAAAATTGACTAAGGTCTAGAAGACCCATGAGGGTGGAGGGACAGAGCTGTGGGGCGGATGTTTAGGGAGGGGCCGTGGTAAAGCCTCCTCCTCTATTACTCCCTCCCACACCCTCAGGAGCCCTTTGTGACCAAACAAAGCTTTATGATGTAGGCCTAGGACTTTAGTCTCCAAGTACATGCCCTGTGCTCAGTTGCCTGCGGGCAACCGTGTGATTCACATGATGGAGAATGCTCTCTTTTCTCTGAAAAGCACTTTTGATACTTGGCAGTACTCCAGTTGCACTCTCTGTGTGAGTGACATCATCCTAGCCTTTCTGTGTGGACTGGGGCTCTTTTTCCTGTTACTCCCGTACCTCGAGAATAATGTTTCTTCACCACCTCCTAGGAAACGTGCAAACATCAGGAAGGTAAGGAACCCCTGGGCCAGACCCACAAGCACATGATTCTCTCTTCTTTCCTATTATTATATCCACTTTTCTCAGTCAACAACAGAGACTCCTGAAATGGGAAAGAATGGGACATCTATTCTCAAGTATAGAATATCATTCCTGTAAGTACAAGCCAGCCTGGGCAGGGGATAGAGTGAACACTGGGATTTCTATCCAAAGATCTCAGACCAGTTGCCCAGGTATGGTAGAGGGCTCCAGGGCAAGTCTCACATACAGTGACCGGAGGTCGAGGACTGGATACCGAGTTCAATCTCAGCCAGAGGACAGGCCCATGAGCACTGGATCACCAGCTGTGAACGGGTGTCTTGGATGAGGGCTGATCTGCTGGTAGTGCTGAGGCCCTCAGAGCCTCAGAGCTGGGGCTGGAGTGGCCCTGGCCTTGGGAAGCCGAGACCCACCTGTTGGAGCTCAGATGAATCCGTAGTTCAGAGAATGTTGTGTATTTCTTGAGCAGAGGAACAGTGACGAAAGAAATCCAGGGTGAATCTCACACTGAAAATCCTTCTTTATGTTCTTCAGAGAAGGAAAACAGAAAATAGTTTTATCTTGTTTAAAAATGAGTGAAAGGAAAGAAAAACCACAGAGCTCTGTTAGTTAAATGTAGAAAGTCATATTATGTTATGGACACTGAGTGTCTGATGCTTGTCTAGAGAGGGGAGAGTAAGAATTGGGTCCCAGGTTCTCATTTGTTCTGTCTCTCAGCATCAAATGGAGCCGAAGGGGAGACATAAGATTGACGAGAAAAAGAGAGTTGTGAAAGGTAAGTTGTGCCATTCATCCCTGTGTGCCCCGAGGGTTAGCCCCCATCTCTCCCAGCCCTGAGGGCCCAGCTCCACAGGCTCCGAGGAGGCCAGTGGCAGGGCCTGTCCCTCAAGAAACAGAACCCTCAGGGAGGCTCCTGGGAAGGAGACCATAACCCAGATACCTCCCAGATCCCATGTGCACAATGAAGTGGTAAGGGGCCTGGAAAAGGGTGTGGCCCAGCAGGGGTGTGTGGGCTACAGTGGACCAATAGCGCCTGGATTGGGAGGTGGGACCTCCAGGTTCAACCGTGGACAAGTTGTTTAACTTTGCTCAGATTCCTCTGTAAGGTGACCCCTGCCCATTCTCCCCCAAAGGGAGGATGTGAGGGTGGCAAGGGGTCATGGATATGCAAGTACTTTGTAAATGATAAACCCTTTCATGAGCTTCGCCATCACTGTCAGGGATCATTTGGCTTTGGACGCTGGTGCTTGGGCCACAGTCTTCCAGTAGTGTCCCCATAAAGCGACAGGGCACTCAGCCTCTTGTAAGACCCTTTAGGCCCTTGCCTTCACCATCATGACCCACTCTGCTGATTTCCAGCTTGCAGAAATTGCCTGGAAGAGCTGGAAAAGGCTCGGGACCTGATTTCACTTCTGCGAAGGTAAAGAATCCTTCCCTTCTCTCCTGGGTTCTTCTTCCACTCAAAGCCTATGGTGTGACACCTGGGCTGCAGGGAGCCTGGGGCTGAAATGCGAGGGGGAGCCCTGAGGACAGCGTATGTCTAAAGCCATGGGGTGAGGGACAGCAGGAGCATTGTGAAGTCAGCATGGGTCCGTGGAGGGCCGTGGGCCACAGGTGCCCACCCCTGCCTGCCCTGCCCAGCCCTCCTGGCCCTGGGGGCTCCTGGCTGAACCTTGTTCCTCATGTCTCCTGCAGCCATCTGGGGAAGCTCCCTGACAAGGGCGGCTTCCATCAGCTTTCCTGTCAAGACCCCCTTGGTGAGGTGTGCAAAGCAGCGCCTGCTGCAGCCCACCAGCCCTGCAGGGAACCTGCAGAAGTGGATGTTCCTGCCCCGTGCCCATCAGCTGCCCTGGTTCCTCTGACCCAGGGCTCTTTACCTGCGGCCTCCACCCTGTGAATAGAACCTCAAGACCAATCCAACTTGAAGAGAATCACCCTTGGCACTCTTGCAAAGAGCTCACCTCCAGGTAATTCTTTTTTGGCATCTACCACTGCAGCCATCTTGAGTCTTGGCCTCGCATGCTATCAGATTTTGCTCCTGTCCTTCTGGTGGAAGGTTACCAAGGCCTTGTTCTTCCCCACATCATCACAGAGTAAGTCCTGGCAAGAACACCTGTCCCACCAGCCACCAGGGGCCCCGTTCTCGGGAGGGCCCACAGACAGGCAGGCAGAGACTGGTAGCCCCTTATTTGTCAACCCTGAAGTCCAGAAGCTGCTGGAGCTTCTAATCACCAAGAAAGTAAAACTAAACGTTTGTAAGGAGAAAGAAGAGGATGGGTCATTCTCAGAACAAATGAGCTCAGACTACCACCTGAACACTTTAGGGAACATGTGGAAATCACTGGGTGCTGAGCAGGACAACACAACCCCTCAATCCTTCTGGAACATGAAAGACAAAACAGAGCAGCTACCCGGTCCTCAGCAGCTCTTACACTGCGAGGTCTTGAGGGACCACTTGGAACAGAAATATAGCCAGCTCTACTGGGGTCTCCCCTCTCTGCACAGCGAGTCCCTGGTGGCTATTAGGAGCTCTGCTCAACAGCAGGCACCCTTTGTTTTATTCAGTGGAGTTTCTCATGGCTTTTCAGTTTCAATTCAACCTAGAATCCCTTCAGGTGCTTCCCAGGCCCCAGTCTTGCCCTGCCCGGGGGTCCCACCCCAGCCTTTCACTCAAAACGTGCCTCCCTGCCAGCCCCCACCTCTGGCTCAGATCCAGGCCCAGCCCTACCTCCCATCTTCTCTCCTATTCAGACCACCTTATTCTCCACCCCAGATGAGTACCCGTGGACTAGATTGTCCTACATTTCAGAACAAGACACTATATTTTGTCCCAAATGAAACTCAATGTCTGAAATGCCCCTTGTTGCAGAAGCAACTGAAAAGTGGGGAGCCTTCACCCTCTGTGGTCAAAAGATCTCAGAAAGGCTTTAGCCAACTCGTTCTCAACCTTCCTCAAGACAGGAGACGCTCTCAGGACCAAAGGTCAGTCTCCATTCATCACGAGGACTTAATTGGCCCCGATTTCCAGAAGCAACATCTTCCAAAGAGGCTCATCCAAGATCAAACCAAGAGGGGCCTGGCCCTCAGTATCCACCTGCCTCTGTCTCTGGAATTGAGCTCCTCTCAGTGCCAATTTTTAAGGACTTATCAGGCACAGGGCAAGCAGGGGCCCTGGCAGCCCTCTGCTTTGACAGGCAAAAGGAGACTGGACCGACAGAAGATAAGGTCCAGGTGCCCTAGGAGATCCCATAGGAAGGGTCAAATGCAATTCGAACCGGGGCAGGATTTCGGCAAGGGTCTAAGGCCATGTCTGAGGAGGATCTCAAAAGCTTCCTCCAGGACCAGCCTCCCAGTGAAGTCTCTGCAAAGAAACTCTGAAAAGGAGTCAGAAAGATACTTGATGAGGCCCTTGAAGAGTGACTCTGGAAAGTGTTTACCCAGTAGCCCAGAGAAGAAACATCTAGAAAAATTCTTGCAAGCCCATTTGAGCACAAAGTTGAGGCAGATTAATCAAGGCATGACGCCTGTGATTGTGCGTCAATCCTGACTTGCTGCCAACTAAGCTTTTTATAAGCCCCACCCTCACGAGGAAATCAGAAATCTAGCATCCTTGAAGTTTTGGAAACCCTCCCGTGAGCTTTCCTTCCTCAGTCCAAGCATTCGGCAGATGCTGGAAGCACATATTATAAGGTGGCGGGTAAGGCACAGGTGGGGCTTACCCAACCAGGCCTTTGAGCCCATCAATCTCAAGCCAGGTGGGGCTCAACCCTTGTCCTCTCCAAGGTCCACCTTTTCCCCCTCTGCCACCTGTCAATCTAGAGCACACTCAAAAGCCAACTTTGCTAATAAGTTCTCTGGAAAACCTCAGCCCCATCAGGGAATGAAAGTGATAACAAAAGCAACAGTTCCCACCCTGGTGAGTCCCCTCCCTGTTCCCTCACCTGAGCATACAGAAATCCAGAGGGCCCTGGCAAAGACTTCACCTGGTGACAGGTATGGGCCCTCAGAGGCCCCTCTGACTGGACAGGAGGGCAGACTGCCTTATCAGATGCCCACAGTCAATCTCATGGGCAGAAGCTGGGAGAATGGGACTGTCTTGGGGTTTCCAGCCACTAGGAAAACCCTGTCACCACCAAGAAAGTCAGTTGCCCAACATCCAAAGGAGCCACGCCTTAAAACAGGTGGCTCAAGGCCGTGCCACTGGTGAGCTCCTTCCAGACTCTCACAGTGACATCCGCATTCAAGACTATGCCATTGGCCTGCCCCTCCAGGACTTTGCCACCAACGTGCTCCTTCAAGACTATCACACTGATGTGCTCCTTTCTTCAGACATCTTGGCTTCTCACAGGTCTCTTTCCAGTTCCCAGAGGGAACATGCTAGTGAGGACGCACCAGCTTTCCAGGTGGTGCCATATGACCTCAACGTGAGTGAACAGAGCAGCCAGGGCCAGCAGAAATTCAAGAAACCACAACTTCAGGACCCATTTAAAAGCCAGAGTGAGATGTCTGCCCCAACAGAGGAGTGGGGGGACTTTAAGAGGTCCCAACCAAAAGAGCATGAAGAAGTGAAGAGCCAGAGGGAGATGCTCGCATCAGCTGAGGAGTGGAGGGGTTTCACGAAGCCCCAACCAGGACAGCATGAAGAAGCAAAAAGCCAGAGCAAGATGCCTGCCCCAGCTGAGGAGTGGAGGTGCGTTAGGAGCCTCCAACCAGGAGAACATGAAGAAACGAGAAGCAACCAGGAACAACAGGAGCCCAGGAAACCAAGATTTAGGGACCCGTGTAAGGGCCAGTTTGCCTCGACTGAGGGGAGGGAGGACAACTGGAGGCCCAAACCAGGAGAGTATAAAGAAAGGTCTTCAGGACTAAAGGCTTCTCAAGCAAGTGGGATGAGCCACGCTTCTCAGGTCAGGGGAAGAGGAGAGTTCCTTGGGAGCAAACACCCCCAGTTCTCACCAGGGAAGAGACAGCTTTCACCAGAAAGCCAAAAAAGGATGAGGCAGTATTTTAGCCACAATAAAAAAGGCAAAGGAATAGAAGAATCCCTTCAAAAAGGCAAGCCTGCATCAGCCACTGCTCACCAGCAGAAACCAATCAAAGGCAAATCTGTTGTAGAGAGCTGGCCTATTAACCCTTGTGCGATTGCAAGAGCTGTTGGACAGGTCCTAAGAGAGAAACTGGGGCTTCACCCAGGACTCTGTGCCTCAGAGTTAAATCAGCACCCAGAACAGCTCCGGGCCCCAGCAGAGGGGCCCTTCCCACTACCACAGGGGTCTCTCCTCTTCAGAACAGAGAAGAGTGTTGAAAGATACAGCCTACAGTCACCAAGCCAGCCCCAAGGACCACAGCTACCTTAACAAGAGCAGGCATACCAGAGGCAGGGGCGACAAGTTAGCCTTCCAACCCAGGGAACTGGAGTCCCCAGTCAGACCCTGCCAGCATGGACCAAGGGTGGCAGGTGACTCAGGCCACCTGCGCCATCACCCAACAGGTCCTCAAAAATGTGTTCCCTCTGGTCAGCCAAAGTGTGCTTCTCATGCCTTTCCTGGTAGGAAAGTAGTGCCAAAAAAAGTTCAGTTCATGTAAAGAAAAACCTGCTGCTTCTCACGTTAACAAACTGTCTATGTGCTACTGGCTTCTTCCTCCCACAATTTGTATTGTTTCCCAAAATACATGTTTTTTCTCATGAGAAGTGGTGGCCTCTGTCTGTGCCCTGCTGGGGGGAAGGGAAGGGATCAGGGTCCACTCTTCCCAGGTGCCTGCTCTGGCTTCCAGATGGGATGGGGCCATGGAGGGAGGTTGATCCCAGCGTGGAATACTCATCCTCACCTCAATTCCCTCACTGCACTTAAGTTTCCATAATAGCAGCATTACAGAAACAAGCAACAGCATTCAGGACGTGTCAAGGTGAACTAAACCTAAAGACCTCCCCCTTCTCAGGAACCGGCTCAGTCCTCTCCTGCTCTCTCTCTACCTTGAACTTCTGGGACTGTAGGGGAGGGGTTTGCAGAGGCTGAAATTCCCCTCAGGCTCCAGAAAGTGTCACAGACAAGTTCACAGGTCAGAATAAGGAGGGGAGTTTGGGGGCAGTGCTAGCCCAGAGTCCAGAGGTGGCAGAAACCTTGCCCCCATGTCTTGGTGGGGATAGATGATGCCTGCCCTGGAAGCTCCTTCTCTCCCCGATGGAGCTGGGATTCAGGTGGGCTGGGAGTGTCACCTGGCCTCTGCCTTTCTCACACACTGGAGCAACGGTGAGAACAAAGACCACGCACTCCCAGCTCTGAGGGTGTGAGGTGAGGACCATGGAGGCCGCCTAGGGCCGTCCACTCCTGCCCCAGAGGAGAGGACAGCCCTACTCACAGTGTCCACCTCCCCCAGGGAGCGAGCAGGGGTGTGACTTGTGTGCAGTCACCTCACTGTCTGTCATGTGCCCCTAGGGTGGGATGCAGGGGACGGAGGCAAGTGGCAGAGGTGCCCATAAATGGCACAGTGACCAAGGAGCCCCTGGCGTCCCACCACCATGTACAGGCCCAGAGAAAAGAAGTTAGGGGCCAGTGCCTCACGGTGGCCCCAGCCCAGACTCTCCCCCGACGCCAGCTCCCAGAGCCCAGACAGAGGGAAGGCGCCTGGAGCTCCTCCACAGAGGGCCAGGCTCCCAGAGGCCGCGGAGCCACCAAGCAGGGAAGGTTCACTTCCCCACAATGTATTTAATCAACCTTCACAGGACTGGGAGCTCACAACAGACTCGCGGTCTGTGACCTTCACCTACACGTGTGGCCCAAGGAGGCTCCCAGGGGACAGGTGGGACTTAACAGGCTCAGGGCCTGTGCTGGGGTCGTAGCAAGTCTCAACTGCTATCAGCCTTGCTCACCCCAGAGCCTAGAGGGGGAAGAGGCCAGCAGACAGGATGTGTCACCCAGTGGGTGGGAAGTGACCTGTGGAGAATGAGGGTGCCGTCAGCTTTCCTCCCCGGCCCGTCCACACAGGAAACCAGGGATACACGAGCAATTCTACAGAGCAATTTGGGGCTCTGTGTCACAGTCACTCCCCATGGTGGAGAGTACTGCACCAGGAGGGTCCCCCGATCCAGGTGACAGCTCGAATGGCCCTGCTCTACGCCTGTCAGGACCCCAACATGTGGGACCAGGACCTGCTTGGGGGGAGCAGGCACAGGCCTGCTTGTGCTGTGGTTTCTCCCTGAAGCCAGGTCTCACCTCTGGGCCCCATCCTCCAGGGTGGACACAGCACTGGGGGCACAGCCAGGGCCTGAGGGGGGGTCTGGGACCCAGAGCACAGAACAACCTCCAGAGCTCAGGAGAGGGGGGCACAGAGCGGAGACCCTGAGCCTGACTGCTGCCAGGTCCTCTCAGGGGCACCAAGAGGTGAGTGCTGGGTTTGAGGGTGCTGGACGCCCAAGGCACGTGTCGGGAGAAGTGACACAGAGGGACACTGACAGAACAGCAAGAAACAAGAAGGTGAAAGTCCCTTTGCCCTTCTGCTGTGAGGTGCAGAAAGGCCAGCAATGGAGGGCCCCTCACTAAGAGTCCCCAACACAGGGACCCACACTCACCCCACACGGGGACCTCTCAGAGATAATACACAGACTTCACAGAGACCTCTCACAGGAGCCTTATACAGAGCCCTCTATGAGAAGAGAAATCTCAAGAGACCTGCACACAGTTTCATGCAGTCCACACACAGGCGCCCAGTGCCCCACCGAGACCACAGAGACCCAACAGTGGCCTGACACCCACTCAAATGAGCCTGAGCCACCAGCCGGCTCTGAGTGCATCCCAAGCCATGTAGCAAACTGAAGGTGCAGAAGGAGATCAGTACAAGTGCCCACAGAGAAAATTCTTGTGTAGTTTTTAATTACTTCTGAAAAAAAAGAATTACACATTCCCCATGAAAACCCGCAAAATCCTTTCCTTCACAGGTTTTACTTAGCTTGAGCTCTGACTCACAGTTGAAAGAATGACAGACTTGGAAAAGGAGCAAAACTCTGCCAGCATCTAATGAGGGAAAAATCTTTGTCCAATGTTAAATATTGTTTGGTCAAATGGCATCAGGGTGTCACATGCTTTGTTTTGCCGGAGACAAGTCCCTGCACTCAAAGTGACTTCTTTCCTTTGGAAACATGATGTAGAGAGGCCTACAGCAAGTGGGATCTATGGTGAAATGAACCGGCAAAGAGGCATCTCACCCCTACTTCCTAGCTGTGCAAATGGCATGGGATTTCACACAGAATAGCTTGTGTCAGGTTTGTGAGATTTGCTTCATTTTTCAATGGAGTGAGCCACCTTACCAAACACACGAAGCTTATTCACAAATGTGACAGATTTTTGGCAATATGTCTATTACATTAACTGGCATATTTGTACTTAACTGCCTAATTTTAAATGATATTGTTTATTTTACTCCTTTAAAAATATAGTAGTACAGTCAAGATGGTTGTATGGTACGCATGTCTCTCGAACATGAAAAAATCCTAGTGTTCACCTGTGATAACTTAAACTTCTGAACCATTTAGAAGAATTCATATTTTACATTATTCTAAGAAATGTGCATTTTCCATGACTCAGGAAATTTATATTTTATTTATTTATTATAGGGCTACAAAAGGGATGCACTGCTTAAAACAATTTTGAAATCTTAGAAAAGATGTCACTTAATTGGTGCTTGAAATATATATTACCTCATATTGCTTGGGAATTGGCATTTTAACATCTGTTAAAGAAAGTATACCTTTAATCAACATTTCTATTATAATAATAATAGAGGTCTCACTGTCTGCCTAATACTTTCCAAATTGTGCACTCGGTTGAGACTACATATTTCTCATTGGTCATAAATTCCGTTGCCCTTTACATGGTAAAATCTGGATAATGTACAGATGTCAAGTATTATGTCTGGTTAAGTCTCTCAGGTCACTCTGTGGGGTAACAGTGTCATGGTCCTTTCTCTCAAAAGAGAGGAGTGAGCTGATGTGAGGGCACTGTGTATTTTTTTAATTAAGAAAAACAAATATTCAGGCTGTAAAATATTGTTAAAAATCATAGCTATTAATTTTTTGGAATGTGCTCCCTTTGTGACATTTTCTTATGTTATGGAATCACACAACTTTGGAAAGTAGCCACAGATGTCCTCTAATAGCCAATCAATAATATTTACTAACTAGACTAGCTCATCATTTTCCTATAGATACCCACACCTACAACATCTCACATTCATGAAAATGACACTCTCTTTTTGGAAGTTTAAGCTGATATTTCTAAACCATTTGTTTGAGATAAAACTAAATTCTAGTAAGAGGCATTATAAAATAATGTAATTCCCAACAAAATATATGAGGATTTAGGAAATACTGGCATCTTTCATTGGAAAACACAGTTGCCTCATATCCTGATAACAAGAAGTTTGAGTGACACAGCTCTTTGGTCTAAGCATTTGTATGCGTGTGTGTGTGTGTGTGTGTGTGCTTTAGCTGGTCCTCTGGATTGGATGCATTAATATTCTACTTTTAAGATGTGTGGGCTAGAATATTTTTACACAAGCGATGCATAGGATATGTGGTTTATAAATTAGGCTCTATGGCCATTCTTATCCCTCATGGAATGGAACATGAGGGTAAACAGAACAACCAGCACAAATACTTTCTGGAAAAACGATGACATTCCCATGAACTTTCCCAGTAGAAGAAAAAAGGTGGAGACTTCAGGTAGGCAGCTGAGATACATTCGCCCCACAAATAAGTACATAAATTTCAGTCTATTAAAACTGGAAGGGGGGCTTCCAAGAAGATGGCGGAACAGTAAGGCGCGGAGATCACCTTCCTCCCTACAGATACACCAGAAATACATCTACACGTGGAACAACTCCTACAGAACACCTAATGAACGCTGGCAGAAGACCTCAGACATCCCAAAAGCCAAGAAACCTCCCACGTACCTGGGTAGGGCAAAAGAAAAGAGAATAAACAGAGACAAAAGAATAGGGACGGGACCTGCACCAGTGGGAGGGAGCTGTGAAGGATAAAAGGTTTCCACACACTAGGAAGCCCCTTCGTGGGCAGAGACTGCGGGTGGTGAAGCGGGAAAGCTTCGGAGCCGCGGAAGAGAGCACAGCAACAGGGGTGCGGGGGCTAAAGCGGAGAGATTCCCGCACAGAGGATCGGTGCCAACCGGCACTCACCAGCCCGAGAGGCTTGTCTGCTCCCCCGCCGGGGCGGGCGGGGCTGGGAGCTGAGGCTCGGGCTTTGGAGAGCAGGGAGAGGACTGCGGTTGGCGGCATGAACACAGCCTGCAGGGGGTTAGTGCGCCACGGCTGGCCGGGAGGGAGTCCGGGGAAAAGTCTGGACCAGCCGAAGAGGCAAGAGACTTTTTCTTCCCTCTTTGTTTCCTGGTGCGCGAGGAGAGGGGATTAAGAGCGCTGCTTAAAGGAGCTCCAGAGACGGGCGCGAGCCGCGGCTAAAAGCGCGGACCCCAGAGACGGGCATGAGACGCTAAGGCTGCTGCTGCTGCCACCAAGAAGCCTGTGTGCGAGCACAGG